TGGAGGACCCCTGGGGCGGGTGACTTGGCTCCCTGATCCTTGCCGGGTCTGTGCATGCGATGAAGAACTCACGGCTGGACCTGAGGCAGTGACCCCAAGGGGCTGGAGGTGGGAATGGGCCGAAGTCCGGTGCCGAGGGCCGCGCTCAAGAGCAAGCGCGAGAGGTGCCCAAGGGTATTTCTGAAATAAAACCCAGGACTGCCCTCTAGGTCATAACCTGCCACTAGCCAACGGTAACGGATGACCACTTCCGGGCTCGTTCCCAAATGCTTGCCCCGCGGGCCACGCAGGTGAAACTGATAAAAAGCCTCCAGGTGGGGCGCGCAGAGCCTTACGGTGCTGCTGGGTTTCTGTTCCCACGCTGGGGTCCGTGCCCTGTAAGCTGGGAGGTCAGAAAGCCGGGAACGTAGCCCGGGGAAGCGCCGTGCGAGGTGGGTGCGTGGGCTACGGGGTGCTGGGCAGGGCCGAGCCCAGCACAGGGGCAGTTTCCGCCCTCGGGTCCCACCACAGCCTGGGCAGGTGGGACCCTGTGCTCGGGAACCCAGACCCACCTCTTGTTGGTCGCTGCCAGGCAGCGGAGGCCACCGCGCCCCCGTGTGGTAGTAGCACCCGCAGGCGCACACAGGGAACCTTGGGGCTGGCCCTAATGGAGGCGAGGTCAAACAGCCACCTTGTGGCCTGTGAAAGCTCCAGGGTTGAAAGCAATTAGGAGGGAGGACGGGCCCTCGTGGGGAGAGTGTGGACTTCCTAAATACTGGCAGGGGGGCTGACGTGGTTATCTGGTAAAGTTAAAGTGCCTGTGTCAGAATTTAGTGCCCAGTGTTTGTGGAAGCCCTGCCTTGGTTACAAAACGGCCAGTGCAGTGCGACAACGTCCTGTTGCCTTGACTCAGCCATGGTTCCTTGAGGACAGGGCGGAATCTTAAGCAGCCCTGGACCTAGTCTGGGGCCACAATAGATAGGTATAGGGCAGCATGAGAGTGCCCTAGTGTGTGTGAGCCTGTCCAACTAGAGCTCAGGACAGGAACAGGCTAATGTCCTCTCGTCAATTCCAGTAACCTCTGGCTCAAAGTGTGACTGTGCCTAATCCTGGCATTCCTGTCCCTAGAGCTGCCCGTCCCCTACCTCAGTGAGTTGACCACTCACAACCACGTTCCATCTCCCTCTCCTCTGAGCCTCCCAGCTCCCCTGGGATGGATCAGTCTGAGTGATGGGGGCTGGGAATGGGGTGGGCACACCACCCACAGGAGTGGAGTGCCTGGGACCTCACCCCGAGCCCTCTCTGCCAACCCGAGTCCTGTCCCTTAAAGGGCTCATTCTGTCCCTTTCCACCAACTGCCCCCCAACAAAGTCACACTTAGGGCCCAACTGAGGGCTTGCCCACTCCTCCACTTGGGGGTGGACATCAGGGGCTCAGGCGGTGGGATGTGTCTCCCACTACTTCTGCCCCCCTGGGCCTCTGCTCATGGCATCGTGGTCTCCAGTCCCTGAAATGGGGAGCAGGCTCAGCAAGGCAGGAAGCGGCAAAGGGCAGGTGGAGGAGCCCCAGGAAAAGGAGTCCAAAGGGTCTGAGCCAACAGCCGCTGGATACAATGGGGCTGCTGCGGTTTGAGGGCATCCGGGCCACCAGCACCTACCCTGGGCCCCTGCCAGCTCAGCCCCACCCCAGGCAGGCCCACTCCAATGTCCTGTGCTGGTTTCCTCATCTCTACAGTGTTGCAACTGCTAACGCTGTTTGTGGCCTGGAAAGCTGTCCGGCGGGACTTCCAGATGGCAGCTCCCCCACCCGTGTGCAGCAGAGGGTCAGAGAGGAGCTAAAGGTGGGCATCACGGCTGCCAGCTGGGCAAGAGGGGCCCACAGGGGTCTCCATCAGCTGCATCTCAGCCAGGTGGGCAGCCCCAGAGCATCTGAGCTGGGGAGAGCAGTGGTTAGGGCATGAGCTGCAGGGGGTCTAATTCGACTCCTCCCTGCCCTGGCTGGGTGCCCTCAGCTAAGGCATTGAAGCTCACTGCACCCCGTTTTCCCCATCTGTACAAGGGGAGCATTCGGCAGCAGAGCTCGGCAGACAAGCCACGATAACCCAGATCGCTGGCAGGGTCAAGAAGGCTGGACATGCTGAGGGTCAACCCCATGAAGAACGGAGGCCCGAGGGGCCCAGGACATGACCAGGCCTGCAGCTGCCCCGTTCTGTACATCAGTCCCAACGAGCAGCTGGGGGCCCAAGGCTTCTGCGTGCACTGCTGCTTCTGCTGCACGCCACTTGTGGCGGCTGTTTGTGTGTCAACTTGGCTGGGCCTGGTGGAGTGGCTGGGCAGCTGGTGGTAGTTATTCCCCATGATGAGACTGGCAATCAGCTCCATGG